CATTTTTGTATCACACGCTTGACCGATTCCGCCGATCCTTAGCATCGACATAGTAACAAATTAAATATTCGTAGGACTAGCACACGAAAATTCACAACAATCCGAAATTTGCTATTGCCGGGAGAAATTACTGTAGTTTCTCCGTCAATCCTGGAATTTTAAGTGGCCCTGGTGGACCGAAGACAGTCGATCGTCGAGGAAGAACGACATACTCTAGATACGAGTACTCCTTGAAACTCTGCGGCGATAACGCAACGAATGGCTTGCAGAAAGATGTCTAGGGAAAATACCGACGATTCTGCAGTGGTAGTGATCGAGGTAGAGGTGTGATCCTGCGAAAACAGGGATCGACTCGTCATCCTTGTCCGAATTGTAGCTTAGGCAAAACGCTATCTAGTTCGAGCTCCACGATGTATTATCATCCCTACGTAGTAGGAAATACATGTTAACATAGTATTCGCTGCATGCCTGCATTATTATTGTGTTAAACCACGTTATTTCCTACACGACAGGATTTTCATGCTGCGAGTAGACGCACAAGTACAAAATTGGAACAATAAAATCGATGATACATTTGCAACTTTGCGCAACACGTTATCCTGTGGAAATTCTGACAGAGATAATGCAATCGCGTTGCTACAACATGTCAAGATCATTGAGATAAAGTGACGATACTTTTTAAAAAATTAAGAAATATTTAACAACTATATAAAACAATCCAATTAACATCTTAAAAAATTCTTCTTGCAGATTAGCTTGAAATTTCTTGAAATTAATTCGAATGACTAACACTTTTCTTACAGGAAACCTATTAACTGAATTTTTGATATGATTGTGCTGTATGTAAAAGAAGTTAGATAATTTCCTTTTAAATAACAATTTCAGAAGTTGTCNATAATTTCCTTTTAAATAATAATTTCAGAAGTTGTCATATCATGAAATTATATATAACTATATTATGAAATTTCAATGTTTCCAAAATTTAATCCAGAAACAAAAACACTTAATACAGATTACCTAGCACTTAAGATATTTAAATGGATCTCGATTTGCACAAGAAACTTTTTAATTGGAAGAAATATTCGGATCCAATTCGGTTTGCAATTAACAAGCCACTATGAACAAATTATTTTCTTGAGATTAAAATAATTTATTACCTTCACGTATATTATGAAAATATTTGTTAAAATAAATTGTTATCTACAACGCCAAGAATTTCCATTTCGACAGTTCTACAAGGCTACACTCAATCGATAATCTATATCTACGGTTTCCAGTTCTCCTTGATCATATCTGCAGCTTTCTCAACAATCATAATAACCGGTGTATTCGTGTTACCAGAGGTGATATTCGGCATGATCGACGCGTCAACCACTCGCAGTCCCTTAATTCCGTGTACTTTAAGTCTGTGATCCACGACGGCCATCTTGTCAGTCGCTGGGCCCATCTTGCAAGTTCCACACGGATGATAGATAGTTGATATGTACAATCTTGCGTTACATTTCCAGTAATCATCCAATGGAAACTTGAAAGATGAGCATTGTGGGATTCGATTAGGATTCGCCTTGACGTCTAGTCTTCTAGGCTGAGACTGTACATGAACTTTGCACCTTCTATCTGTAAACATCAGAAAATCATTTAGACTAGAATGGAAATGGATTCAACTTGTCGAATGAGAATAATTGAAAAGATTAGAATATAAAATATTATTACTTGACAAACTTTAACTTTGTTTTGAGACGAGATAATGAGAGAAGTTGAACAAAATAACTAGACCATACTCAATATTCTATACCCGTTTTGGATAATGTGACAAAATGCTAAAGTAAAGCACATTTTAATTTCGCGGTGTAAGTGTTAAGATGAACGAACAGTTTTACTCGATATTATTTATTTCTTGATTTCAGTATATATACAATTAGGAAATAATTACATTTATTAACAATTGTAGTAGTCGTGATAGAAAGAATATTGAAAATTGTCTCCAAATTTAAAGTGAATCGGATAACAGAAGCTTGAAAAATCGTGTATCACAGGACGCAGGATTCCGAAGAAATCAGGTTTAAAGTCTCTCTTCATAGTGTATACGGTTTAATGTAGAAATAATTCAAACGTACATCATCTCGTTATTTTCACAAACAGAACAGAACTCTTTTATAGATACATTTTCAGAATCATATACTTAAAAAAAATCGATTTTTTTCAAACTACTGGATAAGAATACCCTATTAAATTGTTAACTCTTTTCCACCTATGTCGAGTCAGACTCGACAGTGACTTTTGCAATAATACTTTATTTTCATGATTCGCATTATATTCATAAATAAATTACGTGGTAAATTACGCAATTACGTGGTACGTGGAACAATTGTAGCATTCCTAGTTGTAGTTAGGTTGCAAAGTTACACGTGCGAGTATGCTTGACTTACGTTGTAGCTAATTCTGAAATAAAAGGAAGAAAATACTTTGAAGTTTTGGCAAAGGGTTTAAGTGCCAACTTACCAAATCGTCAAGCTCATGTGGATCCTGGAAATAATTGGGAACGATGATCGGATACTGGTCCATGTTGCTCGAGCGCAATTTCACGTACCCTCTGCTACGAAGTCTTAGCAAAATAGTAAAGCCACCATATGAAGGTTTGAAGATTATATTCTCGTACATATTCGCGTATAATTTGCGGGCGGGATAACCAAGTTAAGCGTCCAATTTATAAGTGCTTTACTTTTTAGCATTTCCCCATATTGTCCAAAACGGGTATACAATATTTAATCAATGTTTGTTAAGTTATATTTTATATTCTAATTTTTTCAATTATTCTGATTCGACGAGTTGAATCTATTTCTATAGTAATCAACATGGTTTTCTGATGTTAACAGATAGAAGGTGCAAACTTCATATACAATCTCAGCCAGACACCAACATTGAAAAGTCTAAACGCCAAGGCGAATATAAGGCTCTATAGCGTCCAAATGATCCTTCGAACCGACACGGAACAGCATGAGCAATTGCCGCGATTGTTTAGCGCCAGCCGATAAAATACCTCGCGTTTTGCTATGACCTTATGGCTGATCTCGTCTAGTCGAGATTGGTCACTTCATCTATAACAATGAAAAACATTCAAACATCATATAATATATTTGTTTTCAGACAAGTGACATACAGGCTCTGGATCTTAAATTGAAATCAATGTCATTTTTTTCATTTTCATTTGCCCGCGATCTCGAAATTACCAGCTACATTTAATGTTCAAACATGTTTGTAGACATTTGAGAGCGTTTGAAAGTTTTCAAAGTTGCTTCCTGATCTCCAAAAATCGCCAATATTTTTTAGGTCACCCCTATTTGTAAAGAAATTTCAATATTCAATAGCAAGTTTGTGAACAGGACTTGTATTTTGTCTGTACAATATATGCCTGTAATATATGTTTAGTGCTTTTTCTTTTTAAAACTGAGAGATAAGCTTTTTAGACCTTGGAACGATATGCAGCTAGGTATTAGCAAGTACAAGTAATGCGAAAAACTCGTAACAGTGTAAAGTTAATCATTCGGAAACCACACATTAGTCCCACATAAATATCATACTTCATCTGTTCTTGTGTTGTACGCTGTGTATATTATATATTATTCCGTTGACTGAAGATGTGTTAAATTCTACATGAATTTCCTTAAAATTCATATTGTTGTGCGTTAAAGCTGTCTAAGATTAAATTAGTATTAGAATACAACGCGACGCGATGCACGCTCTGAGCAGCGATACTCTTAAAACACTGTCGACACCAAGTTTGAAAGTAATATATTCTTGTTTACTGTATATCAGTCGGGGCCTGAAATCAGTGCAGTCAGCAAAAGTGGCTACGCAAAGAGACGCTTGCTCAGAGTCCCGCAGGGCGTGGGACGTCTGCCAGGTTAACATTGTAATTCTGAACTACAATTGCGACACGACGCGGAACCTGCGTCCGATCATAGTTCAGAATTGTAGTACTCGCCTGGTAGACGCTCCACGCCGCTCTGCGAAGCTCCCGGCACATGTGTCAGCTTGCGTAATGACTTTTCATGACTGCACTGTCTGAAATCCTAATTGGATCGAACTATCCGAGCGTTCGTATAGTCTATCTAGTACTCGAGTAGTACTCGAGTAACTCGAGTACCCTCACACCTTTAGGAAATTAGTAACAACTCGTACTAACAACGTAAGCACTATAAAGCAGTTTTTATTAAACAGACATACTAAATAATTTGATATAGAGTTAATATTAGATATGCTATGTTAGAAATATACATTTACTGTACTACATATATACCACCACGATGTCATTACTGGTCGTCATACACGGGTACAATCCGTAATGTCTGATCTATATGGTACGATCGATAGTTGCAATAAATGGAAGATAGGCGATTCAAAGGTGTATGTAGCCCCTATCTTAAGTGCTGTGAGCTCAGCAGTTCGCATCTCGATGGACACACTATAGTGTCACTATTAACAGAACGTAAAGAATTTTGTTTTTCTATATTAAAGTTTCAAAATTATAAATTGTATTTGATTTTTTGATATTATTGAATTCTCTTTTGAAGTGGAAAAATATTGATGTCCTAGTACGTATTTACGAATTATAATAAAAAAAGGTATCAGATCAATCTGCCAAATAGTTTTTGAAATGAAAATTTGTAAGCACTTGTTTATGAGAATATGCAAAAGTTAAATATAAACAAACATAATAATGTATGAGTATGGCTTTCTGGAGTGATTTGTCGACGTATAAAAATATTCATACATTACGTCATGGCTTTCTAATTAAAAGAAAAAAATAATCACCTTAGTGCAAAGAATAGATTTCAAGATAAATATTATTAAGTGTAACTTATTGTCATTGAAATAGACAGAATTTGATGATCAGTAATTTTCAGTACACAGTACATCAGTACACAGCAATAAATACAAATATGAATGGATTATTCAATTGAAGGAACTAGCGGCTTGTTAATTTGATTGTGCAATGGTTTAATTTCTTACTGTTTTTATTGTCTAGATATGTTCTAGACCGTTTTATTGTCTCGAAGTTAGAGGTCCATTGAGCACCTACTTACAATACATCGACTTCTCCATTATTGAAATAAGATGGGGTAATTTGCAAATAAAAAGTCTCTATAAACAAATCATTATCTTGAAATATTAATATAATGTAATACTATCACCCATATAATCATAATATTTATTACAATGAAATTCATACAATGAAAAAATATCTAACTTTGCGCTGGACCCTGTCGATTCAAACGGCGATCCACGGACTCTTAGTGGAGCCTCAAATAAGTAAGACGTGGTTGAATAATATTACATTACGTTATGAATAAGATTACATTTCCTTATATTTAACTAATTAATGGCGGACGAATCGGCTTAAAACTAACGGTGCAATCGTGGAGTCGCGACGGTTCTAGGAATACCGGTGGGGTTTCAGTAGGATGGTTCGGGTTAGGGACGAACCATTCCGAACAAGACGGGAGGTATCTCTCAGAAGATGCGGACGGGCTTGACGCTGTTACAATTGTAGGTCTTTTTTAAATATTAAAACATGATATTATTCTATCTCTTGAGCTATATGAAAACAGTATAGAACATTTCTTCGAGAAACGAAAATTTCTCTAGCATCTATAACGACAACATTTTCCATTTCGACAATACCAAACGGTCAAACTCAATCGATAGTCTATATCTACGATTTCCACTCCTCCTTGATCATGTCTGCAGCTTTCTCGGCAATCATAATAACCGGCGCATTCGTGTTTCCAGAGGTAATATTCGGTATAATCGACGCGTCAACCACTCGCAGTCCCTTAATTCCGTGTACTTTAAGTCTGTGATCCACAACGGCCATCTTGTCAGTCGCTGGGTCCATCTTGCAAGTCCCACACAGATGATAGATCGTTGCTGTGTAGAATCTTGCGTGGCATCTCCAGTAATCGTCCGATGGAAACTTGAAAGACGAGCCATTCTGGGGTTCGATTTAGATTCGCACTGACGTTCAGGCTTTTCAAAGTTGGTGTCTGGCTGAGATTGTATATGAAGTTTGCACCTTCTATCTGTTAACATCAGAAAATCATTTTGATTACTATAGAAATAGATTCAACTCGTCGAATCAGAATAATTGAAAAAATTAGAATATAAAATATTATAACTTAACAAACATTGATTTTGTTTTCAGTTGCGATTACTATAAAGGTTGAACAAAACAACTGGATAGCATTAAATATTCTATACCCGTTTTGGACAATATGGGGAAATGCTAAAAAGTAAAGCACTTATAAATTTTACAGGGCAAGTGTTACGATAAACCAACAGTTTCCCTCATGTTGATATTTTTTGCAATTGATCACTGTCGTCGCGAGTTTCCTCAAATGTCATGTAACTCCATCCCTGACAGCACGTATAACCAGTTTAACAGAGTATAGCTAGTGATCAGCAGGATTGTCAGAGAAGTTCTTACGATTGCGATTGATCAGGTCTCGTCATCGTCAGTCGATGATGCAGAACTCTACCCCTACGCTGCTGAACTGCTCATCCGTGACGTCACGAACGGATTCAGCTGACATTTGAAGAAATTTATGCGAGGTTGATGTTGATCCTAGTTGTTGCATCGTAATTATAACAGTATATGTAAACTCCCATGTAAATAGTCATTGGTAAAATTGAAATTGAGAGCAAGCATGAAGTGGGAAAAAATGTATAAGTTTATCGTAACATTTACATCCTCAAATCAAACAATGTTTCTGTTTGAGATTCTTCTATATTATCAGTAGAATGAAAATATTTTTAGTGATGAAGTTAGTTTGCTTCCGGAATATAGCAGTTTATTCTTCTTTTAGATTTTGTTAAATGCCAGTTCTTGAAAAGTATACAAAATTTGGAGTTTGAGAATTTTTTGTGTTTTCTCTAGTGTAAGTGTGTTGATTACTGTGCCCATTAATGTGACGTCCGAAGTTTTTATCAAATTAAGTAGTTTCTTTACTTCATAAAACACTGTAGTTTTTTTCTCGTTTTCAGAATATAAACAACTAGGGAAAAATTAGTACTTATTAATAATTGTAGTGATCACGATGGAAAGTATACTAAAAACTGTATCTAAGTTTGAAGTGAATTGGATAACAGAATCTTGAGAAAAATAGGTTTCAAGTGAATCTCTTGATAGATAGAAATCTCTTGATAGTGCATATGATTTAATGTAGAAATAATTCGAACCTACTGTGACGTGGCACTTCGTGATATCGCCGCGACAGAGGACCGGACCATCCCCCTCTCCCTATGGTATCGCGCGAACTCGACACTGGCACGAGAGCACTCCCTGGGGGAAGAATTCGGTGTATTTGCGCCCGGCTAATTCGCACCCCACGGGCCGAGCCCATCGAAGTTTTCAGGAGCGGACCTAGTGCCCGCCGCCGACCCGCTGAGAGGGCACCCCTTGGTTGCCGCCGGAATGGGACCATGCCCTATTGTTGGTCTCCCTCAAAACGTCCTACGCGCGCGTAGATGGATGATTGGGGACACTTCGCATACAGACCAACCAACCCGGGGGCGACCAGGACCAAATATCCACCAAGCCTCGGAACTCTAAGGCGAATCCACGTTTCGACGTCCTGAAGTCGTTCCACCCCGTACGGAAGGGCCCCAGGAAGTGTGGGTGGTGCGAAGGTGCCCTGAATGAATGTTTGGAGTACTCCCCCGGTTGCCAGAGGAGACCGCACCTGGGAAAAGTCGGATTCGGCCTCGGGCCACAGACCTTCCGCGGGACGATCCTGTGTCAATTCCATATCGCGCAATTAGGCAGGCCAATTGGGCTAAGACCCGCGAGCGTGTAGAGTGATGGGGGGTACGTAGGATCGGCTCCGTCGCGATCGGAAAATCGCGAAGGATTATAGTGGAGCGAACCGCCCAAGCGAAACGTACGCGTCGGAAGTGTGAGCTAAAGTCAGTGTGTAAGAGAGCGAGCACGAGTGTAAGCGTGGGGGAGCGAGAGGGTGTCAGCGAGCGGAAGAAAAAGCGAAGTCGCAGAGACGATGAAGGACACAGCAGACCTAAGCTATGACGAGTGATGAAGGGCCGAAGGCGGTAAGTCGTTTTCTGTGATCCTTCGCGTAACATCGCGGGGTGGCTCGGAGTTAGGCGCGGGGGAAGGTGAGTAGACCTATGGAGAACTCGGAGTTCTCGCGCGTGGAAGCGCCTCTCGCCCCACGATACCGTCCGTTCCCGAGAGGGAACGTTTGACGGAGTTTCGTGGAGTCTTCGTCACGCCCGGAAGGTTTCCTCGAGGACGTGGTGATCTGGGAAAGGGGAAAGTGTGGCGATCGCCGATGTCGCGTGCGTTCGATCAACTCGGAGATTTCGGTACGGTTCGCGAACTGATTTGAATCCGAATCCGACGATTTCGAAGAGTTCTGGAATCCCCGCAGTGTCGGCGTTTCGGGCCACCTTTCCGACGGCCGCCGCCGTGCTTTCGTACCATTCGTGCTGCGTAGGCGAGCTCGGCAGTCAAATTGTAACCGCGCCGAACATCCGCGTTTCGGGGCAACCTATGTTTAGGCCTCCAGATTGTAAAGAAATCTCGACAAGCGCGCGGATGACCATCCTCTGTGCCCACTATAAAGAGCGCGGGCTCTCGGGTGTAGCCACGAGGCTGCGCAATTCTGTAAATATCGACACGATTAAATATTAATCTAAAGCCCATTTTGGCGTCGTGATTCTATCCGCGAGATTCGTGGATGGACCATGCCTGCCTGCATCTGGGGACTCGCGGGGATCGGGGCGGCGTCGCACTACATAATCTTGTTATTTTTACAAATAGAAAAATATTCTTTGCAGAATCATTTTCAGAATCATATACTTCAAAAAATAAAAATAAAAATAAAATCGATTTTTCCAAACTTCTAAATTGCGCTCCCATGTTGAATCAGACTTGACATTTACTTTCGCATTAATATTTTATTTTCATGATTCACATTATTTTCATAAACAAATTACGCAATTACGTGGTACGTAGAACAATTATAGTACTTCTACTTTAGAGTGGGAAGTTACACGCGTGAGTATGCTTGGATTACGTTATAGCAAACTCAGAAATAAAAGGAAGAAAATACTTTGGTGCGCAAAGGGTTTAAGTGGCTACTTACCAAAAGGTCATGTGGATCCTGGAAATAATTAGGAACGATGATCGGATGCTGGTGCACGTTGCTTGAGCGCAATTTCACGCACCCCGTGTTACGAGGTCTTAGCAAAAGCGGAAAGCCACTACATGCATTTTTCTAGATTATATTCTCGTATATAGTCGCGGAGAAATCGTTTTTCAAATTGCTGCCCCTACTTAGGAAAAGATCGCCGCCGGATTTATCCGATGTGCTTGACATGAAGAACTGTATATCACATGATCCTCCGTTTTATTCGCGTATCTGAAGCAGGATTTTTTGAATAATTCTGTGAATATAGTGTTTGTAATAAGTTCTGACACGAATTTGTTATTGATAACACGCAGGAAGAGGACGTAATTGTTTGATAAGTATTTGAGGATTTATAGAGTTCGTCGAGTCGTGTTGAGAAGACAGTGGTACAAAATTTTTAGTGATTATACAAGGTGTTTGACAACTGGTGTTACCACTGAAAAATGGTATTCCTGAAATAACATAACCCTATCCTATTAGAGAGGTTGTACGACTGGTGTCCTGTCCTCGTTAGCAATGCAGTGTAGTCCTCGCTATCGCGTCCGTGGAGTGAAGGAAAAAGTTACTTCGAATCAAAACTGTGATAAGAAAGAATCGAGTTGATTAGGTAACATGTTTACACTATAAAGATAATCCCTATAAGATAATCCCTATCTTTGAGGAGGTAAGCAAAAGCTGTCAAATTTGAAAGTCACCGTTTTATAAACAGAACAGTAGCCAGCAACATAATGACTCAACATCTTCTAATTTTGTGTATATTATATTATAGTGGATTTTCTTTTGGACGAAGAGCTACCATATACTGGAAAATGTAATTATTGAGTTATTAATAATTATTAGACTGCATTTTTACACAAAATTAATGTTTGCATGAATTGCATGATAGAAAAAGTAAATATTTTCCTGCTTCCCTTAATGAATTTAATAAGCTAAAGCTTATATTATATTAAAAGATTTTACTTTAATAGTTTGGTAACGACATAAATGACACAAAATAGATCTTGATTAAATTATTCGAAATTTTCAGTGACTTAATTGTATTTGAATAATGAAATTTAATAGATCAGGGGTAGCTTAACCCTTTGCGGACGGCTGTCTGCGGACAGCAGCCCAAGCATTTTTGCCGTTCGTTAAAGTTAATTATATTTATATATTATTATTTGGACTATTATATATGAAAATTACCCTACTATAACATTATATCTAAAAGACGCAGGGAGGATGTTACATTTTGTGACATCAGCAGCAGTGATGATGAGTTTTATGTTGAGTCAAGTGACAGTCAAGTGACAGACGAAAAATTCTTGGATGACTTACCTTAATTTTAGGAATTTATATTACCGCCGTCTTCGAAATTTTTGTTAAAATCTAATATTTCCAAGCTATTATGCCGACGTCAAACAAAAGAATCATATCTCAGATCTGCGGACGGCATAAGTGTTAATTATTAATATACATTTATTAATTTAACAGTAGGCTCAGAACGAATTTCAGTTTGACGAGTCGGTCTTTCTGTGTCGCTACCAGAGAAAACAGCAAAGTTTTCCACATATTTATAATCTTATAATAATATAATTATATCTTATAACATTTTTATTTTATATCCAATACCTGTCGTCCACAGCGACGCAATACCCGTCGAGCGGCTTCGTCCGCA